TATTTATCAACTGATAAGTCCTGAGCTGTTTTGTTCTGTGTCTTATCATATAAAATTGTTTTAGGGGAAAATTTAATAAAATCAAATGTGTCTGAGTAACAGATGAATTCATTATATCAAAGGTGAATACATGCCTATATTTTAGAATAGATAATTTAAACCAAACACGACACTATGAAAATTAATATTTGTTTTTTCTCAATACTGGCACACAAAGCAGGATTCTCAGGTCCTATTTCCCAGTTACAATAACATGAATAGATATTGATGTAGCCTATTATCTTGGCAATAATGCATATTAAAACAAGAGATTATTTATTAGCAGTAAAATGTTTCTCCAGGGCTTAATTTAGAAAGCCTGAGATAACAAAATCTGTCTGGAAAGCGATCCTCTGTATACTTATTATTTAGGGAAGTTTTTTTGCTTCCCAGCAGTTTAAGATCCTTAATTGAACAGTTCGTTGAAATGAAGGCCTATGGTACAATACCAAGTCCTTGGGAGGCCAATGTGGATGAACAAATGCAGTTGGAGAAGCCAGTCTTCCTGGAATAGTTCAGAGGTTTTAGTACAGAAGCAGAAGTGGCCATTTCCCTTATGTCCATTAATATCCTTAGGACCTCTGGGTATGCTGCTGCTTTAGCAGTGTCCACACACGCCTCGGGGTTCCACATGCAGAGAGAAGTGTTGGGCAGCAATGGGTTAATCCATCTAACTGCACTCTTTCATAATCAAGGTGCAGTGAAACATCAGGTCTTGGAGATGGAACTGTGGTGGGGTTATGGTACAGAACTTCGCTCATCCAACGCATTAAAGCAGGTTGACTGACTTAGGTTTCAGCACTGAGCAAGCTAACTCTACTTCCTTGACAAGCAACAAAAGAGTTTGATTCCTGCAAGTTTTTGTAATAGTAAGGCAAGCATCTGGAATTGCCAAGCAATTCTTTTCTCTTAAAGCCCTCCTGTCTCACAGCTGGGACCACTGGTGGGTATTGGAGACGCAGCCCTGCCCCCGGCTCTAGGATCCATTCCATTTCTGGTCAGAGAGAGTACATGAAGCATTTAGGAATACATTTGGGTTTCAGCACACGCTCTAGTGCCCATGCTGATGTTGCACTTCTGAATCTGGTGAATGGATTCTCACTGTATGCTTTAGGATCAGACTGAACCTGAGACTCAGAAGTTCCAGGCCTGCATCCTTATTTACTCCTGCACACCTGAGAAGTCCCCTCCTTACTCCAGGGACTGTTTGTGTGTCAATTTCTTTTTTTCTTTCTAGGATTCTGAATTTTGGAGGTTTATCAAGATCTACAGGAAGTTCGTCCCTTGATTATCAGCTATCATTCTTGTGACACCTACTAGATGCTCAGGAGTTAAAAGTAGGAACAATGCCCTGCTCCTGGCATGGCTTCGGTTGTGTCTAGGTCTATAAGACGGCCCAGAACCATGGGTTTTGCCCTCTGAGCTTCCTTTGAATCTGCTGACTGAGGACTGAATAATGGCTGAAAATGTCCATGACTGAACGATAATCTTTATGCTTCCAAAACACTAAAATAAATTTCCTTAATGGAATTGCTGGCTAGGAAAAAATGCATCTATAGAATTCTTACTTCTACTTCTATCCAAAGATAATTTTCTCTGATTCCAAACTCCAGGCTCTCAGTAGATTGGCTTAATTATTTGGAAGGGTGCTGAGTCAGCAGGAGGCATTTCTTAGCCCAGCTCTAACCACACAGCACCTGAATATTGTCTCGTCCTATGCAAGTATATTTCTTAGTAGACCAGCCCTTTTAGGACCAGTCATACAGCTAAACACATTATTATTCATCCCCCTTAGTCCAAAATATCAGGATGATGACTTGGGGAAAAAAAAGGTACAGATAAGCTATCTAGGATAGCCTGAAACCTAGGTGAGTAGCTACATGCAACACAAAAGAAGCATGTTCTTGTGGACAGGTAAGGATGAGCTGAGGAGGTTCAGCTGCAAGTGAAGAGTAATCCAGCAAAAAAGCAAACCTGATGTTCAGATTACAGAGCCAAATAGCAGGCAGTCAGGAGGAGCACAGTGTAGGGAGACAGATCAGGATGGTCTTCAGGTTTTCCCAAACCCTAAATGGAATTCTAATGCTCCCACTGGCTACCCATTCACTCACCCATCCAACATTTACTACAGTCTTCTAAGTGCTCCAGTGCTGCACCAGACACGCACCAACCCAATCTGTCAGTGAAGTATGGTTTTCTATGTGGAAGTTAGAATAGGAAAAAATATGGAAATTAGTATCTGTTAAGTATTTACTATGTGCCAGACACTTTCATATTGAGGAATTAATTTAATCCTCAGAACAATCCTTTAGACATTATTATCAACAGTTCTGAAGAATGGCAAAGAAAGTAATTTCATGAAAGTAGGGTAAAGAAGAATAAAGCTGAGTGAAGATGATTATCCACAGGACCTACATGAGGTACAACCTGAGTTTCTGCTTATTTACCTGTAAAGCAGATAATTACACCTGTCTTGGAGGATGGTTGTTAGGAGTAAACTGCATTAAATGGCAAATGTGAAAGTTCATACTGCAGGGTTAACACCTTGAAAATGTGAAGTGTGTCTTGTCTTCTACATTGTCATCAGAAATCTTATCAGAGGTGTATGGCTGAGAGAATGACAGAGGACAATGATGGAGCCAGACCAGGCTAACACAGGAGGTCTGTCCAGAAAGTATCCAGCTACATAACATGAAAAATAGAGACACTTATTGAAGAAGATACAGTATACAAGAAACATTGTACGTAGGACAATATGATGCCTTGGTCCCCTTCAAGGTAGGGACATGGGGGCATCACACAGTTCTCCTAATTGCCATCAGCTACCCTGTCATTTTCCTGAATCTCATTAATGGTCTGAAATCTCTTCCCTTTCAAAGGTGATTTTAATTTTGGGAAAAAACAGAAGTTGCAGGGTGCCAAATCTGGGCCATAGTGAGTCTGAGTCACCTGGGTGATTTGCTGTTTCACAAAAAACTCTGTATAAGAGGTAATGCATGAGTGATGCACATGTTGTTGTACTGAAGCTTCCAATCATCAGTTGCCTATATCTGCAGCACTCTGAATTATCTGAATAGTTTCTGTGGAGGAATGTTCAAGTTTAATGCATAATTTGATGCAGATTTGTTGTTCTACTCAGTCATTTTGAATGAGACGGCCACACAGTACACATGCTCACTCAATAGCGTCTACTGCCCCAACTGACTAGTATAACGAAATTGTCATTGTTCACACATGTGCATTCCAGTCCACACTCCTTGGCTGCAAGGTTACATCAGTGTTGCACAGACTGTTCTCATTATATTAACAATGGCAGGACTTTTTGCGGACAGACCTCATGGAACAACCTCTTCACTGAGAATAACTGATGTGGGTCATCCTGGCCATAGGTAATATGTTTCAGAAATCCAAGGCTCAGCCACTAGTTCTAAGAGGCCTGGAAAACCAAGGGAGGATGTGTAGAAAGCAAGAGATTAGTCATTAGCACAAAGCAGAAGCCTAGTCACTGGAACTGAATTTCAAGGTTAAGGATGAACTGTCAGATGACAAGAGCATTGCTGCGTTTCGGCAGGGCCTGCAGCACCAGCCCTGCCAAAGGGAAAGCCATTGTCAGAATTCATGGTCCCCATCTCCAGGAATTATGGCTATCAGTTCTTGCTTCCATGACTCAGCAACTGCTCAGCTGTCTGCACCTGCGTCCAACCTTGTTTCTCAGAACCCATGGACTGATCCTCTCTGTGTCTATAGTGCCTTCTCCTCCTAGTTGATGTCAGCTAGGTTCATGGTACGCTTACTGAAAGCTGAGTCATGCAAAGTTGAGGGCCCCTTGAACTGCTTGATGAGTCACCAGACCTACAGAAGGCTGAGCATGCCAGTGGGAGAGTGGCTCCAGATGAGGAAGGAAGTGACTACAGACAGAGTCCCAGGCACTTCCTTCAGGGACTCTCCACCCTTCACAGGACATGGTTGGTCTTAGCCTCAGGTTCTGTCTGTGTCTCTCTTACACACACACGCATACACATGATCTTCATAAGTCATGGATATGGTGTCATGGTATCTAGGCCACAATGCTCCATGGGACAATCTCTTCTTGGCCTTGGCTTCTGCATATTATGATGTTTTCTTCTTATGAATGAATGAAGGTGACGCCAGTCTAGAGCTCAAAAATAAAACTTTCTCTTACTCCTATTTACTAATTATATCATAATTGAAGAGCAGGGGGAAAATGTTTGCTTTGTTTCTACATAATTCATGTAATAGGGCCTGGATTGCATTACAGAATTGTCACATTTCTCTAGGTTTGAACTCCTATCCAGAACCTACCCTAAGAAATTTGCCTCCTTAAATATCTACCAACTTCTCACTAATTTTTCTGCTTGAACCCATGTCCACAAAACATCAGTTGAAAGGTTTTTAGATATGGAATCAGAAAGAATGTGAAGGCAGAGAAGGGGGTATGCCAATAACAGAGTATTTGACTAGTACATCCAGAAGAGAGATTATTAAAAAGCTATGAAGAACTCCTGTCTTCATTTAGAATGCCATTTGCCATGCCTTTGAATTCAAATTCTTCCATTTGATCAGAGCTTAGACAAAAGCCTTCCCTGATCATCATTAATAACTTCTTCCTTTTCAGAACTTCCTTAGCCCCTCTTATGTTTCTGTCTTATCACTCATTATATTGTACAGAGAAGGAACCAGGTTCAGTAAGGCCTAAAGTTTAAACACTATGGGGGACCTCTTTAGGAAAAATGAGAGAAGGGATTAATACAAAATTACATATGAACATTAATATTGATTTAGAATAAATAAATCACAACAAAATCAAGTTTTGACAAGTTGATGAATACAACAAATATTACAAAATCTAGGAAAATAACGTTTTCATTAAGTAACTTCCTATTGGAATTAATTATAATATTTTCTATAAAGAAAATTGAAAGATAATTCAGTCTCTCCTCTTTAATGGTTGGTCACAATTATTTTACAGTTGGTAATTGAAATAAATAAAACATACATCTTTACATATGCACAAACTCACTCTTTGTAGTGCTGCCACTAGGTTGTCCCTAGGCACCTGACACACTGTGTTTTTGTGTAATTACCAATGAAAAGAAAAAAATGTACGGTGCATGCATAATTGTATAACTATTTATGTTGTGTTACTGAGAGTATTTCTGACTTCAGAAAGATCTGTCTTGAGTAGGCACTGTCAAGAATTAAGCCTTTTCTTTACAGTTGTCCTCGTCTGACTAAAATAATTTTCTACAGACTGTCTTTTGACTTTATACACTCCAAGCCTTGTGTCCCCTCTAGTACCCACCCAAGTCCTGTCCTGAGTGCCACAGGGCATGTTTTTATCTTGATAAAACCTCCGTTCTGTACCCTCGTGCCATTAAAACACAATGAGTCAGCTCTGGGGGTGGTGAGACATTTCTAGAGACCACTCCTCCACCCGGAGAGCTGGTAATCTGTTCATTCTAAAATCCATCCATACATTTCAAAAAACTCCTCTGAGTGTATTTTCAATACAGGTTTTCTTTTGCTACATCTCAAAAATAGCCATAGCCATGCCAACAGGGGGAAACTAAGAGGGAAAAGAGACAGTTGAACTAACTGAGGCCTTTTCTTTTAGTCTCACTTTTGCAAATTTTACAAAAATGTATGACCACAGAATTATGTTCACAGCGTCTCCCAGAGTGCTGGAAGTGGCCCACGTAAGTGAGGGGCATGACGCTTGAGCATCACTCACTCCATGCTAAATCTGCCTCTGCTTTAACTTTGCATTATAATAATGTATGCCCTTCTATAATTTATGCACTATAATAATGTCTTCTATATTTGAGCATGTTTTTACATGTTCAGTTCCTGATACATTCTTTTCACATAAAAGCAACCCAGTAAGTTTTGTTGCATTAACTAAGGAATTCATATACACTAATGGGCAAGTGAGTGTAACCTGGCTGAGGGCACAGAGGAATTCCAGGCTGTCCAATTCGAGGTTGTTTCCCCTCCTTCGAGAGCGCATTGGTTAGTAGATTTGGTCTTGAGTTTCTCTGGAAACTTTGGGCTTCTTTTCTTCTCCTGGTCTCAACAAGGTCAGAAACTTCTGAGTGAGGATTTCTGTAAGGACCATAATTTATTAATTCAAATAATAAACATATTACTATAATTTAAAATAATGATTCCAGTAAATTATTGTTTAACTAATTTATGACACACCTATAAAATGGAATGCTATGTTAAAATGCATGAGATAGAACCAAGACTTTTCAAATGGGAAAACATCCAGGATGTATTGTTAAGTGTTGAACATTCTCCACTCCAAAACCATCACCAGTTCAAACCCCTCCAACAGCGTTTTGTTCTAGCTTAACCGCTCAGGTAAGCCCACTACCATTTCTTTTCTGTAGCCTCAATGGAACTTCCTGTCCACTGATTTCTCTGCTTTCTCCTAATCTTTTTCAACTATTCTGCAAATATTCTAAACTCCCTTGGCCCTGTACCTTTGCTTTTTTCCCCTACATTTCAACTGTTTAAAATATGAAGAAAAAACCCAACCCTTCACCACCTATTTTTAAATACAATGCAATAGTGTTACGTACCTTCGTGACATCGTGCAACTATTACCACTATCTATTCCTTGAACCCTTCCCACCTTGCAAAACTGAAACACTGTGCCCATTAAAAACTAACCCTCCATCTTCTCCTCCTGCTTGTCTCTGGCAATCACTATTCTACTTTCCACCTCTATGATGATGAGCACTCTAGGTATTTTATAAGTGGAATCATATAGTATTTGTCTTTTTGTGACTGGCTTATTATGTTTTTGCTCCGGTTACCTTGGAGTTTATTTAAACTAAGAGAAAAAGGTCATAATGTTTTCATGCAGTACATACTTGGTTGTGTAAACACAATCATGACAAATAACAGTAAGAATTAAGGAATGCTGAACTAACGATCCATACAAAACACCAACATTTTGGCTAGTACACAAGAAATGCTAAATATTGTTAAAGAAATACTGCAAACACTTTTTAAAATACTGTAGTAACAAATACAAAGAGGCATGCCTTCGGTGGGAATAGAAATGCAGTTTAGAAAATAAGGAAAAAATCACACTGAAACTATCAATGTCTTTAAAAACCCCTGAGCAAGAAAAGTAACACTGAACCTCCTTATGATAGTAACACTATCATAATATGGCTTAGTAAGGTCCATCCACGTTGTAGCATGTGTCAGAATTTTCTTTGTTTTTAAGATCCAGTAATAGTCCATGGTATGTATACACCACACTTTGCTTACCTGGACACTTGTGTTGCTTCCATGTGTCATCCAGAATTTCTATTCTTTTTTCTGCATTTTATGTATTTTTATTGATATTTCCACTTGTTTTGTTGACTTTCTCCTTTAGTTCTCTCAGCATATCTAAGATAGTTGTTTTAAATGTTTCTCTAGCACGTCTACCATCTGGTGTTTCTCCGGGACTGTTTTTGGGTTTTTTTCCCTTTGAATGAGTGATGCTTTCCTGTTTCTTTGTGTGCCTTGTGATTTGTTGTTCAAAACTTGACATGTGCATCTAACTATGTGGTAACTCTGGAAATCAGAGTTTCCCCTACCCCATCTTGGAACTTTTCTGGGTCTGCACCTTTTTCTGGGTATGTGTGTTAACTTTCTAAGCGTCCCCATACCTACACAGTTGATTTTGAATATTACGGTCTTTAATGTCTGGCTTCCAAAAAGGGAAAAAGAGAAAAAAATAAAATGAGAGGAGGAACTGGCTCTTTAAATGTTCTGGAGGTGACTTTGGTCAAAGAGGGACTAGCTTGCAACAATGGCTGCCTGGCCCCTTTGCTGGCACCTCTGTGATCACAAGCAGCAAGCAACAGTCAGAGCACAGGTCTCCAGTATTGCCCACTTTGGCTCCTGAAAGCTTCTCAAGCTACTCAAGCTGCTCTAGGAACTGGAGCATAGCTGCTTGCCAGGGACGGTAGGATGTGGTGGGCAGGAAGGTGGAGCGTGGGTAGCTGATGCCATGCTATGAACTGAAATTGACTGAATTTAACCACAATTTACTTTCCAAGCCTTTCCCTGGAAGTTGCTAGATTTCAAAGTTCCAAAATAGTTGTATCAAACAGATTCTGCCAGGGCAATTGTTGTCTAGGTGGGAAGACAGATTATTGGTGCTTCCTACTCTGCCATCTTCCCAGAATCCTATCTGTGTCTTTGCTTTTTAAAAACACTTCCCTACATGGTGGAACTTCATTCAACTTTGAACCAACCCAGTTGCTTCTTTCTTACTTACTTGCAATCAGGCAGTTGACTCTCACTACAGAAAATCATTTACCTGATACATTACTAAACAACTGGAACCTACACAATTCCAACCACCCTTTCTCAAAAAAAGTTGCATGTGCTTCTTCATCTTTCTCTTTCTCTTTTTTCCCCCTTTTAAAAATAAAACTATACTTCAAGTACTCTCTAGAATATAAGTTCACGAGGCTGGACATTTTTGTTGTTGTTCAGGGCTCTGTCCCTCATCCTAACACAGTGTAGCACATGCTAGATAATAATTTTGAATAAATGGACATAGAGAAGTACACAAATTAAAATAGAAAACACACCTGTACCATATACTTTATCAAATTTGGGCATATTACCATAATTGATCTGCATTTTTCTAAGCTTCCTGGATCCTATTCACCTCTCTCTCCTAACAATTGGTGCTGTCAATAATTTGGTGTTTATCTCTCTCATGGAAGTTTTTGAACTTTACTACATGTTTACCCCATAATAGTATATGTCATTGTTTTTGAAGGATTATAGGCTTCACATAAATGGTACTATATTCTATGTAATCATCCTACAGCTTTTATCCTGCATGTTCTTCCTTCTACATTATGTTTTTGAGATGAATCCATGTTGATACCTGCAGTTCCAGTTTATTTATTTTTAATTATTATTATTTCCTAATGTTCATATGAGGATATGTTTTTTATTGATGAGAGAGAGAGAGAGAGAGAGAAGCATATCAGTTGCTTCCCATATGTGTCCAGACTGGGGATTGAACCTGCAACATTTTGATGCACAGGAGTACATTCCAACCAACTGAACCACCTGGCCAGGGCCCAATTTATTTCGTTCATTTTTGCTTGCTTGCATCATGATCTCCTTATCCATTCTTCTATTGATGAAAATTCAGGTAATTTTCAGATTTTTACCATCACTAGCACTGCTAAATGAACATTTCTATATGAGTGTGCTGTGTGGCAGTCTGCAATAGTTCCTCTAGGAGGGCTCCGCATCTCGGGATGGAGGGCTGGGACACCGGAGTGTGAACTCTACTAGACATCGTCAAATTATTCCCAAAATATTTTGTGTTAATTAACATTTCCAACAGAAATATTTGAAACTTCTCCTTGCTTCAGTTTCAAGTCACTATTTGGTATTGTCAGACTTTAAATACGTTTCTAATCTCATGATATTAAATGGCAACTTATTTTTTATCTTGCATTTCTCTGATTACTAGTAAAAGTTGAACAATTTTTCATCTTTCTTGGTCATTAGGCAATTCTTTTCTCTAAATTACTATCTCATATACCTTTGCTTATGTTAAAAAATAAAAACTTAATTTTTTTAGAGCAGTAAGGTTCACAGCAAAATTGAGACAAAGGAACAGAGATTTACCATGCACCACACATTCATTATTAACACCCCCACCCACCCACCCAAACTAGCATATTCATTACAACTGTTGAATCTATATTGATCCTACATTATCACCCAGCATCCATAGCTTACATTATGGTTCACTTTTGGTGTTGTACATTCTATGAGTTTGGACAAATGTATAATAACATGTATCCATCATTATGGTGTTATACACAGTATTTTCACTGCTCTAAAATTCCACTGTACTCTGTTTATTCATCTTTCCCTCTTCCTACCAAAGAAAACCCTTTGCCTATTATTTTAAAAAGATTTTTAAGTTTTTATTCTATTATAGGTGTTCCAATTCCTACCTCCCCCTGCTTTGCCCTTCTCTGCCCAACCCACTCCCTGCTCCCACAGTCAATTCCCACACTGGTCCATGTCCATGGGTCATTCATAGTCATTCATACATGTTCTTTGACTGGTCCCTTCCCCCTCTTTCCACCATTATCCCCTTTTCCTCTCCCCTCTGGTCACTGTCAGTCTGTTTCATATTTCTATGCTGCCTATTATTTTTGTTGAGCTATTTCTTTCTCTAATTTTAGGCAGTCAGCACTTTGTCAGCTATATGCATTGTAAATATTATCCTTCAGTCTGTGTTTTATCTTTATGTATAGTATTGTTTTAATAGAAAAGTTTAGTATTTGAAAAGAGTCCAATTTATCAATCATTTCCTTAATAGTTTTTGTATAGTGTTTTAGAACTCTCTCTCCTCCCTCAGATTTTAAGGATATTTTTATGCTATCTTGTAAATTTTTAAAATGCTGCTCTACATATTTAGTTTTTAATCTAGCCTGGAAAATAAAGTAAGAAGTAAAGTTTATTATTTTCCATACAGATAACTAATTTTTCCACCACCATTTTATTTCCCTACTGATCAGCAGTGCAACCCTTCACAAATATTAAGTTTCCATTAATGCATGAGCTCTGGGACTGAGCTCTGCGTTCTACCCACTGGGCGCCTTGTCTACATCTGTGCCAAAATCAAACTGTACTAATCATTATAATTTCACAAAAGTATTGCTCTCTTCCCCATCTAGTTATTCTTTAAAGATTTCTTGGTTATCCTGTCCTTTACCATATGAATGTTGAGGACACTTGTCAAGTTCTAGATATAATTCTGGTGATATTTTAAGTAGAATTGAATTTTAAATTGAATGTATTGATTAACTGGGAGACAACTGCCATTTTACAATCCCCAAATATGGTTTTTGTTTTCTTTATTTTCTTTCTAATTATCTTGCACAATTTGTCGGACTTATCCTTATGTAAACTATAGTTTTCACTGTCACTACCCAAAGTTTTTTTAATCAATACATTGTTTTTCTAATGTATTATTAACAATGTTATTGATTATGCTGAGTTTGTATCCAAAAAAATTAGACCATATTTCAAATTAGTTTTAGAATTTT